CTGTCATATATATATATATATATATATATATATATATATGACAGTTTTGTAAACAACAGCATTGATTGTTGTTTTTGTAGCTCGGGTGGTAACACCAAGTTACTGCATTCAGAATATCACCTCGAATGGTGGTGAAACGTTTTCAATACAATTGCCAAGCTCGGCAAACAACTGAATATCAAATAAATATATATTCTATGTACAATCCCTGTTAAGATGTCACCCTTCAATGGTCAAGAAATGTGTACAGACTTTTTCTCAGTATCGATCTTCTTGTTTTTGCACCAAAAATTCCTCAAAGCACTCCGGATATCCATTCTGGATAAAGATATTCAGCACATTTCGGAGTCCATCTACCTGCATATCATCCGTGCAGATTTTTCTAACTCTGCCGACCAAGCAGTGTAGGAGATTCTTCTTCATACTGAGTGGTACAAAGCTAGGAAAATAAATGTACTGTTCATTCCAAGTCGCTTTCCTATGTACTTACTGTCCGTCTGGTGGACCCGTCACCACAACGAGTTAGGCAAACATCTAAATATGCTTGCTGACTGTTAATTTCATTTTTACTCGTGAGTTACAAATTCCGATGCGCAACATTAAAATGATCCAGTAGATGAGGGCAGTTTGTTATGTAATCGTACACGCACAAAACGTCATCTACGTAACGTTTGCATAGTACGCATTGTTCAGCATGTGTTCAAAGCGAAATGTTTGTTGTTTTAGACATGAAAACATCAGCAAACAAAGGGCTCTAGAGTGAAACCCATTGTTATACCGTCTTCCTGGCGATAGATTTCCTGATTTAACTTGAGTGAAACATTGTAAGTACAGAAAAATAACAAATATCGGTAGAGTTACGTGAACCCCATTGCTTCCGATCTTGGTACACAGGCAATCCATTGTCTCACCGATCGGAACACCCGTGAGGGGAGATGTGACATCCAGCGAAAACATGTGGCGACTTCTGATCTTTAAGCCACTCAACGCGTCCATGAGATCGATTCTCTTTAAAGCTATACTGAGTCAAAGTCTCGCACTGTCTCCAGAAAACGAGTCAACCACTTGGCGACCGTATGATAAGGTGTGTGGCACATGTCTAGGATCGGCCGGAAATGAACTCCACTCTTATGTACCTTGGGCAGCCCATACAACCGTGAAATTGTACTCTCTGTCCGACGAACCCGTTCAAAGGTGATGGTATCTACAGATTCCTTTTGTTTAGGTTTTCGTAATGTGATAGAAAGAGCCTTCTCTAGTTGGGGTATCTTGTTATTTTCAAGAAGACATCTTTGTGAATCTTGCTTCATCATTCAGAATTGTCGCCATCTTCCTGACGTGGTTTGATTTTGTTATGATAACTTCCATGTTTCCTCGTAAATCGCTCAATTTCTTCAGATGTTGTTTCGTTATTAATCCGTTAGTCAATGATTTAGCACTCTGATATTGTTAAGTATTCACCAGCGTAGACTTAGGCTGTTCTATTCTTAAATGAGATGAGGAGTACACATCTAATAGCTGGGCGTTAAGATTTTCAAACTCGACCTCCATGTCTAACCGTTCGAATTTTCTCCCCGAACAACAGAACTTTAGCCCCAAGGATAACACTTCTGCCAACTCTTCGTCTAGATTTAGATCAGAGATATTTTGGGTGATTATTTCTCTGAATTCGTTCGAAACTCACTTGTCGGTGTTAAGGAATTAAGACGCTTTATGAGGAGGCCACGCTTACGTCCCTTTTGGTTGAACGTAATCCTCCAATGTGTCTTAATCCACCGAAAGTTTCTCAAGAATAAGCAATGAAATCACTAAGCCTATTCTGAAATCCATGTATGTGAATCGGTAAAATGAAAAGCGGTCTGGTCAGCTGTATGGTGATCAAGTGAATAGTGCGCTTGCGTTCTACCTATGAGGTCCCACGTTCGATAGATTCGCACTGAATATGAGACCCAACCCAGTTGAAACAACTGTTTAGTGCTTCTTGGTTTTCCCGTTTACAATTCATCTACTTACTTACTTTACAGCGAATGCCGTAGACGGAGCGGAGACCACGGCTTTTTGTATCCTCTGTACCGTGTCTAGCCAGATTTTTAGCTGCCTATCGTATCGACAGCGCCAGTTCGGGCAGGGAGACGGGGCCACGGTAGCATTGATCAGGTCAGACTTACGAAGTATGTGACCAAATCATTGCAGTGGCCACCGTTGTATTAGCGTCCGCAGCTAGATATGGTTAAAACACCGATTTCTGACCGCTTTATTTGAGATATAATGTCTTCACCGTACCCCCCAGAACGATTTTTAAGCAACAGTGATCGTAAACTTCTGATCGTCGACAGTCTTCGATTCTAAGTGGTCAGATTTCACAGACACATAGCAGGACATTACGGACTGTTGTGGAAAAACCTCAGATTTTTGTTTTCACTTCTACGCCAAGGGAAATCCTTCAGCTGTAAAAACGCCTTTCTTGCAGCATTGACGCGCACTTATACCTCATCTTTAGCTTGGCCGTTGGGTAGTATGGCTGAGCCCAAGTGTTTACAGCTTTCAACAGATTCGATCGGCTCGCTGTTTAGCGGTAATGCATCTTCGAGATGAATTGGGACTGTCTCAAAAGTTTTGGTTTTTCATGTGTTCACCTCTAGTTTGATCTCGGAAGCCTATTGACTGATGCAGTCAAAGATTACTGCGATCACTTCATTTGCACCATACACGACGAAATTCACCTAGAGAGTTCTTCAGACGACACAGGAAGATCGGGTGAATTTCCATAGAGTGGCGATAGAAATTTAAAGAGAAAATTAAAATGAAAAGCCTGAGCAATCCAGATAGCAAACTATCTACAGAAAAGCATCACTTACTTCCGACCGATGTGTAATATTCTCCAGCGCTAAACACAAAATATATTTGCCGCTGAATAAGTACTCCACATTTGGTTTACACGAATGATCCAAACGTGCTGCTCTGCAACAATGCGGGGTAAAAAAGAACGGATAAATTACTCTAGAAATATACCCAGAGCTAGATCAGCTCCGTGATGATCTGTGATCACAAAACTGTTGATGCGGATCTGGAAGAAAAATTGGTGTGAAAATAGCATAAACAAACCTGACAGAAGAGAATGAACAGTTCACGTTCGGATAGAGGAAGGTTGCCCCCAGTGAACGATGCAATAGTCTGTATTAAGCCAGCAAATTTGGAAACGAATTCACTGTCCGCCTTGAAATCGTCCTCATCTACAGTGGAAATTATTGAACAAACGGCTTGGATTACGAGACATCAACTGTTGGATAGCTTGTCGAGTTTTCGAGTCCTAAACAACCCCAAATTAGAGTTAGTAGGATCGCGGTCGTCTAGTACCTGAATGGTTGACAGCCGGAGAAGCAAACGAATATCGGCAATTGGAAGCCGTTGCACAGACACGTACTGTCTACATTCCAGTTCATGCAAGGGTTGCATGGATTTTTCACAGGAACTGCCACAGTAAAACATCTGACCGCAACGCTCACAGGGATGAAGAATGCCCGAGGAGGTCAAACATCCATCACAAGAGTTGTATCTTTTGGACGACAATATGGCGTGTACAATCGGAGAATCCCTGATGAGGATATCACCACGACGAAGCCGGGACTCTGTGGAACAGAATAGAGAGCACGTTAGTTTAATCCCATCAATGCGAATTGGCGAACATGTCCAGATAATTCAGCTAAAAAGAGAAAAGGACACAGGGCACAATAAAAAGACACGGATATATTTAAAATAAGCAATACAGCTCTTGTTACACTTACTAACATCCTTCGTTGTTGAAAGAGATTTTGAGGAATCCTCAGCAGATTGACTCATCTGTGCACAGAGAATAAGGAATACGAAATAAACTAGATGCAACGACGGTATGAATATGAGAAACAGTGAAAATGATCATATACTCGCACCTGAAGAGCAAAAAGCCCCAATCACCCAGTATCAGATGACAGTAAAAAAGGAACCGTACATCCAGTTGATTGAATATCAACAATATCATATGAAAGAGCTGTCTATCTAATGGTAACCCGGTGTTGCAAACAAGATTATTGTGACGAAAGTACACTTCCTGGGTACAAGTATATAAATGGACTGACAAAAGATTACCGGAAACGCATGCCTGACGAGCGGCAAGAACCGCGAAACCGGCCGTACGCTTCCAGGGAAATTTTGTCCAGTCAGTCATATACTACGTATTATCA